CATGAAAAATTCAGAAGATTAGAATTTGGGAGAACATAAAGAGTGTATGCTGCACCTGTGCCATGGCTAACGATTTTGAGCTATGTCATTCAAGGTCTCTAACCATCGGTTGCTATCGTCTCGCGGACCTCAACCAGGTAGTCTATACCTACGAATATGGCTCAGCTCACTTGTCAGCTTATAAATCATTGGATTTCAACATCATATCAATGATCTGTTGTGTTCATTTCAGTACATGATGATTCTGAGTTTTGATCTTAGTTGATAGATTATTGTGAAATTTATACAATAAACGAAATTATCTCCCTAACTTTTAATAATGATTCTGAATGTGATATTAGTATGTGATGGTGATTTTAAATCGTTATATATCTTGGATGACTGAACGGTAATCGTCAGATAACTTTACATTTATGTTTCATACTAGTTGGTACTGGTCAGCAATATGTTCTTGGAATTCTGAGGTGACTCGTCATGACTATGGGATTCCAACGGATTGATGCAATTTCACAGTATGAGACCAGTATGATTAAACTACTTAGGACAGACATATTCAAAAATAAAGACTATTTGAATGAACAATTGTTTTCAATAACTTCATTATCAGGCTTTACAGTTAGTTACATAGACCGTAGTCAGAGGGCTTTAACCTTACATGTTTATGAAGATCTACTAGGATGGTTTAGAAAAGGAGTTACTAAATCGATTAACAGCATTATTCTTTCCCACTAAGTAGATAGTGAATATCATATGAAAATAGAGGAAGCTTTCTCTGTTTTATATCAAGTTCTATAATATCTACCTCAAAGAGTTAGATTATGATTGCGCTACATACGCGAAGCCATCTGGATCAACTCCAGAAAATCAAACTTATGTATCCAAAAAGGTATATCCAGCCTCTATGTTTACTCTGCCCCACAACTGGATCACCGGATACTTAAACTGAATATTGTAATCCTCTGAACCCCTTCTTCTTTTTGATTATCTCTATCTTGATCTTTGCATCCATCATCCCTAATTCGTTTATCGTAATTGCCATGACAACATCCCCCTTATTACGTAATATATTCACACAATAATAATATTATTATTATTATTAACCCAATTGACAAGATGACATTCTCTTACTATGCATTTGATTCAGACAATTTTTTTTTTGCATTTTCATTTTTGTTATATTACTTACTATTCTACTGATTGTCACCGGACACTTTACTCCAAATTATTCTGATCTTTATTAAATGACTTCTCTAATTTGCAAAGAATACAATTTTGAATTGTATCTATGTTGTAACAGATGCAAACGTTTACCATATTTAAACAATATAACATTGTAACCACAATTGATTGATTACTGGGTGGTGATGAATGTCATATGTGTCAAGTCCTTATTAGTGTAGATCCAGTGTTTCCTGTCGACTAACGATACAACACAGAATGCAACAATCGAATCACAATTGACGGAGAAGATATGGAAGATGTTAATCCTTCATCTATCTGGGCAGTATCATTGATGAACACGATGGATCTGATGCAGATGTGAAGGCGCGGATCGGCAAAGCAAGAGCAGTATACTTACAACTGGAGAATATCTGGAACTAAAGCCAAATGTCAAACAATATCAAAGTCATAATTTTCAATACAAATGTGAAGATAGTCCTACTATATGGGGCGGAAACCTGGACAACTACGAAAACCATCATCCAGAAGATACAAGTGATTATTAACAGTTGTCTACACAAAATACTTCGATCCATTGGTGGGAGAGAACAAATCAGATTCCAATGGTGGAAGAAATCAGGAAGAAACGCTGGAAGTGGATAGGACACACATTGAGGAAAACACCGAACTGCATCACAAGGCTGTTGGGGATAAGAGATCCTCAAAAACTCATATTTTGTAATTTTATCTTTGAGGAGCTTGTATGCCGATGTATGCTTAGACATTTCTTACCACCTACGCACATAGTCGATTCACGAACTTATCGATTAAATGTTTAAAAAACTTTCATGGCAATATCGATTATATATATATTTGTATAAGTAAGCTTGATTTGTGTGCCTGATCGACCTGGTATCGTCTGGTTGCCTGTAGAATACACTTCTACGTCTTACCAAGACTTCTTGATCGAGTTAGCTGAGTCGGGAACAACGGCCCAGAATAGCCTATCGAGTCTCTCAATTCTTCGTTCCGTTCAGAGTAAGACGAATCAGTAGTAGCATTCAAGCGTAACGAACTTGACAAAGGCAAGAAACGCGGATAGTGGATAGAACACACATTGAGGAAAGCACCCAACTGAGTCACAACGCAAGCCCTCATCACTTGGAATCCTCAAGGCTAAATAGAGAAGTGGAAGATCAAAGAAATTGAGGCAGACATGAGAATAATGAACAACAATTGGATAGAACTTTGAAAGGAAGGCTCAGGACAGACTGGGTTGGAGAATGCTGGTCGGAGACCTGATGCTCGATTAAGAGTAACAGGCGTAAGTATGTAAGTAAGTAACAAATTACTTAGAAAATAGACACAAAAAAATATTGATTAAAAATCCAATCATCGATTTGAAAAACTCTTCAACATATTTGTCTGTTCTCCTTTCATTTGCGTGATCTTATAATCAGAAAAATAATCAATCGGGGGGGGGGGTAATATCACGGAACTATCATTACATTTTACTATATAAATATGTCTACCGTATATTCATTCACATGCATTTGAAATGAATTTTCTGTCTCTCTATCCTTATGAGTAAAAAAAAAAAATTCTATTGATTATTATTTATTTCGAAAATCCAGTTTTATTGTTTAATTGATTTTTTACAAAATTGGGAAATTGAAAATGAACTCGGATACTAATTGTCTTGTTTAGTTATAATAAGACAATCAAAAGAGGACATGATGAACGATTTCACGTCTGATATACATATATGTCTGTGTTCAAGCACATATCGAAATCTCATGACCCGCCAACGTGAAATAGATAAACCATATTGAGTAGGGATTATTTTCTATTTGGTTATGTAGTACTTACAAAGTTTTGTAAGTAGTATACATTTCTATCTGATATTTTCAAAAACAGGATTGATTTTTGTGAATATAGATAGACTTTTTAAGATGTATAGTTACGGTGTATTTCCTTTTCCAGAAAATACTTCAATGATGTCCTGAATGTCTTCTATGAAATATTTCGACTTCAGTCAATGATGAAATGTTTGAATGTTATAGGTGAACTAAACGTATAAGACTAACAGTTTGGGGGTTGTAGAGATTGTTAGGTTTTTGATTGAGATCATGAACCGATTGATGTTAGACCACCATCGAAAACCTGGAAGCACTAAGACAGCCGTTTCGTCCTATTGTGGGACTCCTCAGAAGTGGATTGGATGCCAGCCGGGTCAGTGGTCCAGTAAGCTAAGCGTTCGCGCGCAAAACTGAAGGCTTTTGGGTTCGAATCCCGCGAACGGGATAGTCGGTGCGCACTGCTGAGGAGTCCCAGGCTTTTGAGGGTGGTTTAATATCAATCGGTTAATGATCTCAATCAAAAACTTAACATATTAGAGACTGTGTTGACATTGGTGTAATGGCATGAACTGTGTACTTATCACTTCAAAATATTGAATTTCATCTACAAGATAAACATGCTAATTGTTAGCTTAAACACACTTGCAAATAAGGAATAGTTGTTGAGATTTAGAGATTTTCACCCCCAGATTAGTTTAGCGACTGTTCATTTTCACCATAACTCATGATCTTATCTTATGGGAATAAAAGATTATGCAATCTGATAAAACCCTGAGTGAACAAAATCAACGTATATAAAATTTACTATATTCTATTCTTTATATACAGAGTATAAATTCCACAATCTGGAAACTTTTATAGATTAAATATCAGTATTTTAGATCATTTGTATTGAATGAGTTCTCCCACCTATAAACTTTAACAAGTCGAAATTCAAACCCAAATGAACAGAAGCAATTTCAGAGTCTCTAGTACTATGAATTAAAACATAGAATCCTGGACCTATCTAAGTTAGACCACCACTGAAAACCTAGAATCACTGAGAGTTCGTTTCGTCCTAGCATAGGACTCTTCAAAAATACATGTCCATGACCCCGAACGCAAAAATTGAACCCAGGAGCTTCGATCCCTTGTGAGAAGACTTAGACTCCAAATGATAGTTGCACAAGATCATGTATGGATTTAGAAAAGATACTAACACCTTTGGATACCAGGCGTTCAGTGCTTCCAGGTGTTGGGGGAGGCTAGATTCACAGAAATCACTTGGCAAGAGAACCATTCTTGTAATTTTCTTACGGGAATTTGAATTTCTCATTTTCACGTCAAAAGCTCCCATTTTACCTTCGATTTGTATTTCTCACCTGAAAAAACCTTAAATGTCATAGGTCCGTTTCCTTTCATGACATTTTTGTACTGTAAATATACGAATGAGTTGTGTCCTTATTCGTCCGTGCTCCCAACTGCTTGTGGAATATGTATATATTTTTTTTCTAGGTCGGGTTGAAGCGAAATGGAACAGCTTAACTTAGCATGTTGTTGTGTTGCTGACTTTTGTTCCATTCCCTGGTTTAGCTGATATCATAATCTCTTCAAACATAACACCGGGTTTTCAATAATGATCTAACAACTTAGATCAAGTTCAGGATTTCAATAAGGAAATGTTAGTTTCATGAATAGACGATGATTTGTAATGCTACAATGAAAATCATTTCATCAATACAATCGAGGAAGAAAAATGAGAAGAAGGCCAAATGGTTGTTAGCGTTAAGATTTCTATGAAAATCAAGTTAGAAATTATATAATCATCGGGTGTATTCACTTGTCATTCAAATACCATGGGTGCACACACATACATACAAGAAGTTCCGTGTGAAGAGAAATTTGATATACAATTGAAATAATGAATATATATAAAACTAATCCAAGTTCATTTACAAGGTGAAGGTCTGTATACATATATAGATATCTACTAAATGTACTTCACTTATGAATGGATCCATGAATGGATCTTTGTTTCATATACAATTGACGTGATTGACTTTGACATACTTCTAAAATAATATTCAATTGATCACATATAGCTCTAGCTCGTGACCATTGTGTTTCAAAGCATAATTGTTGAAACAAACTATTATTATTATTACTACTACTGTTATTGATAACAGTAGTAGAAGTAGAAGTAGTAATATTAGTAGTTGATATACTCGAGGTAGTTGTATTTATATTCATAGTCATATTAGTATTACAATTGGCATCGATACTATTGAATATGTTAGTATTTGTGACCTCAGGTAAATCTTGTCCAAAACAAGGTACAATCGTTGATGTAGAAGATGGTGGAAGAGGAATATGAGGTTGTTGTTGTTGACCATTAGTAGAAGTTGTTCGTCCACCACCACCACAACCAATAGAAGTGGTCAATTGTGAAGTTATCCAATCGGAATGTAAATCAAAATTAGGCTATTTGATTTATAAACAAAAAAAAAGATGAAAGATGGAAAATAAGAAGGAAAAGGATCATGATACTAATCAGTTGGTAACCAATTGAATGAGTAGTTAGAAGACTAATTAGTAACAACAAATTAAAACTCTACTGTAGACATACAAAAATAAGCTAAGGACTTAATACTTCAAGCACCTCTAGGTTGTATCTCCTGATTTATGCAGCAATTTGGAAAACTCTCCCGGTCTCCCACATTATACGAGCATACTATGTACCTAAATTAATGGTTGCTCTGGTTGTCAGTAGGGGCATCAGCCTTGTGACTTTGTAGTGTCGGTTATTATGTTAAGCCCACATACCTTATTCTGGGCTTTCGGACAGCTCAGTCTATTCATTCTATTTGAGTCACATTCTGAACTTGTTAATTATTCACTTATCTGAATCTTGACTGTTTTTACATGAGCGCGTAAGTGTGTGTACACTTTTTATCCCATTACTCATCACATGTCTGTAACTTAATTTTATGTGCCTATAAATATTGATTAACGTTTGGTTAAAGGGGAGTTGGCTTATCCGCCATCTCCTTTTACCAATATTTATGTGTTCAAATAAATATATATAAATAAACAGTCTCGCACATTCACAGCCACATTTGGCTAGATGTTGTACAAATGATGTTTTCTATTTTGTGATCCGATGTGGTCTGCTTAGTTTGTATATAAACCTTACTTACTTACTTACGCCTGTTACTCCTCGTGAAGGAGCATAGGCCGCTCACCAGCATTCTCCATCCAACCCTGTCCTGGGCAATCCTTTCAAGCTCTTTCCAGTTCTTATTCATCTTTTTCATATTTGCTTCTATTTCCCGACGTAATGTGTTCTTTGGCCTTCCTCTTTTCCGCTTCCCTTCAGGATTCCAAGTTAGCGCTTGTCTCGTAATGCACTTTGATGATTTCCTCAATGTATGTCCTATCCATTTCCATCGTCTTTTCCTAATTTCCTCTTCAGCTGGAAGCTGGTTGGTTCTCTCCCACAAAAGGCTGTTGCTGATGGTATCCGGCCAATGGATGTTGAGTATCATGCGTAGACAGCTATTAATAAATACCTGTACCTTCTTGATGGTGGTTGTTGTAGTTCTCGAAGTTTCAGCTCCGTATAGTAGAACTGACTGTGTTGACGTTCGTATTGAAGATTCTGACTTTGATATTGGTTGAAAGTTGTTTTGAGTTCCATATGTTCTTCAGTTGAAGGAATGCCGCTCTAGCTTTGCCAATCCTCGCCTTGACGTCTGCATCTGAGCCTCCTTGTTTATCGACGATGCTTCCCAGGTATGTGAAGGATTCCACGTCTTCCAGAGTTTCGCCATCAAGAGTGATTGGATTGCTGTTCTCCGTGTTGTGTTTGAGGACCTTGGTTTTCCCTTTGTGTATGTTGAGGCCTACTGATGCAGAGACTGCTGCTATGCTGGCTGTCTTTATCTGCATTTGTTCGTGTGTATGTGATAGGAGGGCTAAGTCATCTGCGAAGTCCAAGTCGTCTAATTGGTTCTGAGCTGTCCATCGTATGCCGTAGTTTCTCTCAGATGTCGAGGTCTTCATAATCCAGTCGACCACCAGAAGAAACAGGAAGGGAGAGAGTAGACAGCCTTGTCTTACTCCGGTCCTTACTTGGAATGCGTCTGTCAGCTGTCCTCCATGCACTACTTTGCACTGTAGTCCGTCGTATGAGTTCCGGATAATGTTGACAATCTTCTCAGGAACTCCGTAGTGTCGAAGAAGTTTCCATAACGTCCTCCTATCTACACTGTCAAATGCCTTCTCATAATCAATGAAGTTGATGTAGAGTGACGAGTTCCACTCAATTGATTGTTCGACGATGATCCGTAGTGTCGCAATCTGGTCTGTGCACCACCGTTGTATATAAACCTAGTATGTTTGAAATACATGATTCACATAGTAGAGAATGAGATTAGTGTTCTGGAATCAACAGGTAGGGCTAGGCAGGAAGAAGTACCGATAAGGACTTTAGACTGCTCGTACTTGTTTTATGCGTCATTGGTCCGATCGATAATTCACTGTTCTCTAAATGGTGGTATGATTGCATCATATATTAACAGGGGCGCAAGGCCAAAAGATATAACACTTATTCTCTCTCTCTTATCATGATAGCTTTCATCTTTGTCCTCTAGAGATCGTTCAGCCATGAATCGAACTTATCCGTTGCAAATCTCAAGGTTGTACTGAGTAACACATCATGTCAAGGCCGTATACTGGATGGAAACAACTCTTACCTTTCTTGTGTATCAAGCACAAACTAGTGGATAAATAGATCAAGGACATAAAAAAGGTCAATTTCAAAACGTGAATCTTCTGATAAACTTATCATCTACTTTTCATATGGATAATATAATGAGATGTAGTTTATGAGAACTATCTGGTATATCAACACAATAGATTTCATATTGTTCAAAATGTATACTGCTAATATTATCATATTAGTTCTTCGGATAAACGTTAACTTCTCATTGAACTAATCAGATTTATCAAAAGGATTAATTATCTGAAATATTTTAATTATTAAATATAGTTTATAGTTGAATTCACGAATAGATGTAACCGCTTCCTCCTAGTATAATACTCATCAGCAGTGTGCATCCAAAATCCAACGCGTGTATTGCTGAAGAGTCCCATATTAGGACGAAACGACCGTCCAGTGATTCCAGATTTTCCATTATATTCTAACTTCAATTAACTCATGATTTCAACTACTGAAATTACTAAAATCTCTATAAAACCCCTTCTGATAATAATTATCTGCACACTAGTGACTAACTTCAAGATGTATATCCTGGAGTTCTAGTGAGAAGCAGTGACCAGTGGAGTTCAACTAGGTCTGTTGTGAGATATTATCTCACTAAAGACAATGGTGTACGGTGGCTCAATTTCATGGATTGATTGAAGTTAGACATTAACACCATTGGATGCCGGTCAGTTCAGTGATCTCGAGGTTAAGCGCTCACGCGCGAGACTGATAGGTTCTGGGTTCAAATCTCGCGGGGGGGGAGCGAGATCGTGGATGCGCACTGATGAAGAGTCTCATACTAGAACGAAACAGTCGTCCAATGCTTTCAGGTTTTCCATGGTGGTGTTCTAACTTCAATTGACTCATGATGTCAATAATAATAATAATAATAATAATAATAATAATAATAATAATAATAATAATAATAATAATATTACTATGTCATTGAATGGATTCCCCACTTACAATATAAACTATTCTAAATTGTGTTTTATGTGATAGAAATGATTTTGATGATTGTTCAGTTGTTACATAATGTTTAGTTGATGTTTTATGATGACTCCCCCCCATTACATAATCTGGGCATAAATTATTATTATCATTATTATTATGATTATGGTTTGTAATAGATGATTTATCCATGAATTCATTTGTTGAATATCCCGTAGTGATTAATTCACAATCAGCAATTGTATTAATTTGTAAAATCATTGGTTTCATTAATTTAGAAAATAATTTTGGACGTTTTTGTTCAATTTTTAATTCATTTGATGAAATATCTAGAAAGAAAAGAAAATAATAAAGAGAAAAATGATGAGATAATAGATAAGTTGGAGAGTGATGATGATGATGATGATGATAATTTATATGAACATTACATTACTTACTTACTCCCAATGGAGTATAGGCCACTGACTAGTATTCTCCAACTCACATTATCTTGGACCTTCCTTTCAAAGTTCTGTTCAATTGTTGTTCATTTTTCTCATGTCTGTCTCTCTATTTCTCGGTGTCATGTGTTCTTTGTTCTTCCTCTTCTCCTTTTAAGTTGAGGATTCCAAGTGATGAGGGTTTGCTTTGTGATGCAGTTGGGTGTTTTCCTCAATGTGTGTCCTATCCAATTCCTGCACCCAAATGCCCTGGTACGGTCGAGAGTGGGGAGTTCGCCCTCCCTCTCCAAATGCTCTCACATGGCCATGCGTATATAGCCTCTGCCAGGGAAGTCCTACTCCCTGCACTACCCTCTTGTGGCATTACTGTTGTTTACGAAATTGAGAGAACGAAAATAGAATGTCCGACGCTATAACCGGGTTGGTGGACATGGAGAGTCCACCTAATGGAGTTGAGAAACCCTCATTCCAAATCAATGGTGCACATGTGCTCCAGTATCCCAAAGGAACAAATGGAGTGTGAACCAATCGTTGGTCACCTGCTACCATGGGACTGCATCTCCTTACGATGCTCCACTGCCTCGTGGATCAGATCTTAAGGTCGAAGGCTCCGGGTGTGGTCCCTTAAGAAAACCACCTGCTTCGATTTGGGCATCCGGGAAGTATCTGAGCCCTCGCACAAATCAAATGAGAATTGTGTGGCCCATATGTATTTGTTGTCTCCTTGTACCAATATCTATGTGTTCAAATAATAATAATAAATAATCCACTTCCAGCACTTCTTCCTTTGCTGGGATCTGGTATGTTCTCTCCCATAGTAGGTTGTTGCTAATAGTGTCTGGTCAACGGATCCGAAGTATTTTATGTAGACAACTGTTTATAAACATTTGTATCTTCTCGATGATGGCTCTCGTAGTTCTTCAAGTTTTCACCCCATATACACTAGAATTGTCTTGACATTTGTATTGAAAATTCTGAATTTGGTGTTGGTTGACAGTTGTTTTCAGTTCCAGATATTCTTCAATTTTAAATATACTGCTCTTGGTTTGCCGATCCACGCCTTCAAATCTGTAGAGTTATGATGATGATTTACATTGTTGCTAGTTAAATAATCATGATAGACCAGTAAATATTAGATAGTTTTGTATAATGATGACTACCCAATGAATTATGATCGATTTGTGAAGTAAACAATAAAATTCAACAATCTTTATAAACGCGAAACTCTGAAAGATGTGAAATCCTTCATGTACCTAGGAAGTATCATCATCGATAAACAAGGAGAATCTGATGCAGATGTAAACGTGAGTATTGGTAAAGTAAGGATAGCATTCCTACAATTGAACAACATATGGAACTCAAGACAACTTTCAACCAATATGAAAGTCAAAATCTTCAATACGAACGTCAACACAGTTCTACTGTACGGAGCTGAAACTTCGAAAACTACTACAACCATCATCAAGAAGGTACAAGTATTTATAAATAGTTGTCTACACAAGATACTGAACATCCATTGACGGGATACCATCAGCAACAGCCTACTGTGGAAGAGAATAAACCATCTTTCAGATGAAGAGGAAATTAGGAAAACACGTTGGAAGTGGATAGGACATACATCATGCAAATCATCAAATATCATCACGAGGCAAGCGCTAATTTGGAACGCTGAAGGGGAACAAAAAAGTGGAACACCAAAGAACACGCTATATTGATAATTGGAAGCAGACGTAAAAATGGATGAATAGCAACAGGAAAGAACTGGAAAGGATTGCCCAGGACAGCTTTGGATTTAGAGTGCTGGTGGGCGGCATATACCTCTCCGCGAGGAGTAACAGGTGTAAGTAAGTCCATAAACGCTCTACTTCGCTAATAATAATTGGCTCGTCATTGACAAATTACGAGAGACAATTACTGGAGCTGTGAGAGATCGTATCCAGTTGAGTTCAACCATATCAGATGTAAAGCGATTGCTCACTAATGGTATATGGAGATGGTTGTACAAGATCGTGAATTAATTGAAGTTGAACATGTAAATCATTGGACGCTAACTTAGTGATATAAAGGCTAAACGCTAACCTCTAAACATGAAGTTCCTCATTTTCACTCGATGTGGAATTGTGAATGAGTATTGCCGAGAAATCCCATATTGAAAGGAAACATCTGACCACTATTTGATAGTATTTCAAAGTTGGTCTGTAAAAACGATCGAAGTTAACAGTGTTCATAAACCCCCCTATGTTCATTATAATGATGAGTAAAGGGGTCTTCTTTTGATCAGAAAAGAGCATTTTCAACAATGAAACAGTATTATAGACAAAAAGATAGAGCTAGATAACTTTTACCTACAGATTACTTATGTCAATGTTTAATTAACAAAACAAATCTAACTGAATATGAAATTACAGAAGTGTTAGTGATAGAAGTATGCATACTATGGTAACTGCGTCAGATGGAAATGACAAAATAACATTGTTCGGTCAATGAGAGGTTGGAATCAATAGATTAACTGAGATTACAGATCGCATATATGAACACACACACACAAGCTAATTCGAATAGTACCATCGAGAAACACAAACGACAAATAGAGTAGACTATTTGGAAAAGAGATTTTACACTTTATACTTAAACGTAACAAACTTCAGAGGTGAGCAGAGACACGTCAATATCATCATAATGTACATAGAATCGTGAAAAATAGGTCGATGCTGGTTATCAATAGAAAACTAATTGCTGTTACTACACTCCAGTACATTAATCGGTATGATTACTTCCTTGAAGCTGAAATTTCATATTGGTTATATCACTTTAAGAAATGATTTGGGGGGTATAAAAGAATGTAACAGGGAAACTGTTCGAACCAATACACCTTGACAGATCACTACAATAGATAAACTTAACTAAAGAATCATGATAACAGCTAAACATAGCTATTACCATTATTATTTTTTATGCCAAGTACAATTAACCAACAATAAAATCACACAAAAAATCACAACAATTTAACGATTAGGAAAGAAATAACATACTTAACTGAACTTCAGGTGGAAAAAGACCTTTTAAATAAGTCACCTGATATTGTCTTAAATGTAAAGCTGTATGAACTGGTTCTAATGTTGTATCTAACGCTAATATCGATTCTAATGGCTTTGTTGCTTCAATATCATCGTTTTGGTCTGAAAGAGCTGTATCACACCGACCTAAATTAAAATAAACAAACAAATACGAGAAAAAAATGTGTATGTTGTTACAGTAATGATAATTCAAGGTAGAAGTATATTGGGGATATACTGAGTGGGATTTCAATGATGGACATACAGGATACTTGATCTTGGAACTATTAATCACCATTAGCTACAACATTATGTAGATTGAACTATTAATCATCAATAGTTGAGATCATGAATCATCCACGACCCCGCCCCGCGGGATTCGAAGCCAGGACCTATCAGTCTCGCGCCAGGCGCTTAACCAACTAGACCAGTGAACTGAGGAGCCTCACAATAGGACGAAACGGCCGTCCAGTGCTTCCGGGTTTTCCATGGTGATAGTCTAGCTTCAAATGACTCATGATCTCAACTATTGAAATTACAACAATCTCAACAAAATCCCTTCTGATATTAATCATTAGTTCTGGAGTTTACAATAATCAGGAAAATGATGAAAAAGATGAAAATAATTTGTATTTTAACACATTATCATGCTTCAAGATAATTTAAAGTTTAGTTGAGTTTATATATAACAGTTGAGTAGACAAGGGATTAAAAGCCAATAACCTGAACTCTACTAATTAAAATTTAATTTGAAATAATAACTCACAAACTAGTCAGATATTCATAAAATAGTCAGTCAGTCATCAACAACCCCGATCGTTGTTGCTACCTTGAAGTGGTGGTCGGGCTTGCCTATCGTGGTGAAGCAACTGAACTATATTGGCCGGAACAGCCGTTCCTCAAGATCCTATCATGCCAGACAGGTCGGTTGAAGAGCGGTAAGACTAAAAGCAACAAATCCAAGGTCCGAAGGCGAAGTCGTACTGCTGACTGTACAGAGTTGTGATAGCAGTAGGATGATTCCTTCAGATAACCATCATGACAGCAATGCTTCCTTCCCACAAGGAGAGGTGTGGCTAGAAAAGGTCGACCCTAGAAATGCACACCTCGCCTTATCCCACGGATATCCGTCTTTGGCGGTAAGGTCTCAACAAGTACGAAGCTAACACAAAAACTACTCATAAAAAGGTCGTGTAAGACCGACCTCAAGCAGCCGTCATTGGGCACTGCGGTCACGCTCTCAGGTCACTATGATTACCTCTAATCCAATTTCCTTTTCATGTACCTCCAGAAGAACCCTTCCACAGTGTGGGCAACCAGGAAGTGATAACCGCTCTCATACCTCTAACAGCACTCAAGACCACTGGAGTCATTAACAACGTAGAACAACGTACGTACGTATATCAGTTCGAGTTGCCATACCACAATAGCACAGAAATACAATTGTCCATTCAAATCCCACGGTGGTAGAGATAGTAAAAGTATAAGCAGTAATCAGAAACATTGGGGTTTGAAGATGTTATTCAAGGAGTATAATCCAGTGAAATAAATTTGGAAAGATAACAAGTAAAGGGACATGAAAAATTCAGATTAGAATTTGGGAGAACATAAAGAGTTGATGCACCTGCGCTATTGGAAACGATTTTGAGCCATGTCATTCAGGATTTATAAAATAACGAAGGAACTGACAAAGATTAGATCATTTTTTGACCATTTGAAACCTTTTATGTTTTTACGTTAAAATAATTTTGAAAGTTCCTACTGGAACTGCTCTTGATCTCGTTTAGATAAACAACGAATATCACATGCAGTGATATTAAGAATGTGGCCAATTTGAACTGAGAAAATGATTGTGCTAAATGTCTGCGTTACACAAGCCTAGCCATAATCTCTACTGCCCCTAAATGCCCTGGTACGGCCGAGAGTAGGGTGGGACAGGCCTCCCTCTCGAAATGCTCTCAAATGGCCACGCCTATATAGCCTCTGCCAGGGAAGTCCTACTCACTGACTTCTCGTGGTGGGGGTATTGTTTACAGAAATGAGAGGACGAAAAGCGAATGTCCGGCTCTTTAACCGGATCCCAAACCAATGGTGCACATGGGCTCCAGTATCCCAAAGGAACAAATGGAGTATGAACCATGGGACTGCATCTCTTTACGATGCTCCACTGCCTTGTAGATCAGATCTTCAGGTCGAAGGCTCCGGGTGTGGTCCCCTAAGAAAACCACCTGCTTCGGTTTGGGCACCCGGGCAGTATCACAGCCCTCACACATATCAATTGAGATCTGTGTGGCGCATATGTATTTGATGCCTCCTTGTACGAATATCTATGTGTTAAAATTAATTAATTAATTAATTAAAAAATACCAGGCATTAAAATTGACACTTACTACTTTCACGAACAAGAAGAAAATGCAACGGTAAACCAGCAGCAATAAAATAACTTAATGGTTTACTTAAATCTAACTGCGAATTTTTATTCAATAGAGAATTATTGCTTTTTGTATTGTTGTTCTGTTGGTCTGTGTTTCGTGGCCAAAGTTCCAATCGATAAGCATAACCACCATGCTGGCGTAGACGACGACGATATACAGCACGTTCTAACACTGTGCTTAGACATGTATCCGATGGGAATCGGAGTACACTCATACCTTGAGCCATATGTCTATATATGTATGTAATGGAATTGTTGAGAATTGGATTAACAAAATTACAATGTTTTAGTCGAAGAAAAAAGTATTTATATCTACACTAATTCTACAGAAAACATCAGCTATAATTATATGTAAATATTAGTTATTATTCAGGCAGGTAATAGTGAGGTTGGACGCAGGGTATTAGGGAATGATGGTAAATCAGTTGATGAGGTTGTGAATCTTCATCGACTGAGATGGTTGGGCCATATGTTGCGTATGCCTGAACACCGCCTACCACGACGCGCAATGCTGACCAGTGTTGGAGATGGGTGGGAGAAAGTTAGGGGTGGACAAACCAAAATGTGGCATCAGTTCTTGAAGTCACTAACTTCTGGTCTGAGCCATGTTGGCAGATGCAGACTAATTGGTTAGGGTCCGCGTTGGAGACTGTGGGTAACATGGCTCAGAGTCGATCACAATGGCATTGGTGTACACACTCTTTGTCTTTCCTTGAACTATGAGATTACTTTATACCTTTCTTTCTACGAACTAATTCTTCCTTCCTGTATTATATACTTATACGCAATCTTTCTTTTATATATTGCCATCATTGAAGTAACTACCTGTACCAATATCTATGTGTTTAAATAATAATAATAATAATAATAATAATAATAATAATAATAATAATAATAATAATAATAATAATAATTACAGTTCGTACTCAATAATGTGATGAGTAACACCTATCAATTAATATTTTGTAGATCGTTTTAACAAAATAAAAGTGCTTAGCAAAAATTATCAGCCCCCATTATATATATATATATATATATATATATATATATATATATATATATATATATATATATATATATATATATGACAGAAACTTGTAGTCATACACACATACATCTACTCACTTACATTGTGACTAAAACATGCGAAATTTCTTTCTTTGATGCCTCTTCCAATGGTGTTTCAACTCGTTCAACTAGAGCAAATGACTTAAATTCATATTTATGGATTGGATCATTCAATTCAAGCGGTGGAAATTCTGAATCTACATCTTCACTATCGTCATATTCATCATCCAGTGTATCAAACATGTATAAAGCCAGACGGTTTAAAAATGATCTAAATCGATAAATAAAATACGAGGTCAGTTAATCATACGAAATGTAGAGCCTGGTAAATGCAGATATCTGTTTAAGTTACTTTAATCGATTAACATAGAGACATGAAGTTGTCATAGAGAATTTTACAGTAGTAGAGGTAGCAAATAAACGATAACAAACCATCGGGTTTAGTAATTAAAGCTTTCAATCACTGAGTTGTACATTCGAATCTCAATCCACCTAATTCAGTTTGAGCAGTCGAACAACGGCATTACTAGTTTTCATGAACTTAAAGTGACTCGAAACATAGTTAAATATCAGTATTTATTTTAGAGGTGTTGTTTTCTCTAAGACAGACGATTTAATTACGAAGCCTTCGTAGAAGTCATCAGCCCATGTTCTCCAGATACGGAATTTGACTAGTTGCTGTTAATAACTATGTTCATATTGTTTGCACAACTATGTCGGTTGTCTTTTTCCTTGATTTTGTATTTTTTTTTATTTTCGTTGGTTCGACCTACTTTAATGAGTATACCGGCTGCTGAGTGGCATACCTCTTAAAATTCTGAACCTTTCTGTCGCCTCTGTTCAGTTTTGTGACCCTTCCCAATAAAAATTATCCTCGTAGTTGTCTATATGTATTAATAGGAGTGAATGTAAGTCGCTGTATTTAACAGCTTGCTGATATTCACGTACACACAGATCGAGAGACCTTAAGTTTCATTAGATGAAATTCCTCATAGTTGGTACAATTTATCTTGTAAACGAAAGATATTTAACCAGACTTTTTGTTGCTGTCTACTTTGGCTTACAAATAGTGTTTATAAAGATTTCTTTGTCTGCTCTTACTGTCATTGGTCTAAATAGTCTGCTTGTGATCTTAGAGACTATCTTTACGTGAGATAGGGTTATCTGTCAGCTAATCACTATCCTGTAAATAAAAACTAACTAGTGTGATGTTTCAAAAATTCGCATGGAGTTAAATGGGATAAACACGAAACATAATCAAGGTTTTAAAATAATCATGCATGTAGCCAGACTCTCCGATATGAATTCAATAGCAATGCTTAAAACTTACTCGTCTAAATCATCTAACTGAGATGACGCAAGTGTAGAATCACCATCAGATGTTGAAAACTCATTAAAATACTGCCATAATGTGAGCCCCATAAACTGTTGCACTGTAGTACCCAGTCGAGGTTGTACTTTAATTGACGTGCGCGGGAAGCCACTAAGCCTCCAGAGCCAAACATTGAACTGACGCAGAGAAGGATCTACATTTGCATTGGGAAAGCAGCCATCTGGAACATGCTGATTTGTACTAAGTGTTGACCGAGCATCGTAGATAGCAAAATCAGAGAATAGTTTATTTCTTTTTAAATGTCCACTAAGCTTAGCTTGTTCTAGTGCCAATGTCAACCCAGATTTTTCAGATTTTATTGCTGTATCGGGTTTGTTTGTGCGGACTATCGGTTTTGATGGAAAATACGTGTCCACTTCCTCAGCTAAACAGTAGCCACAATAATAATGGCGGTAAAAGTCTGTTTATTAGAATAATTTATTCACCATTAAAAGCTGTAATAAGAATAGCTACCTTCTTAAGACTTTTTATCATGAAAGTTAGTAACAGTAAAATTTATCACAACCCATTTGTGTTAGCGAAACAATGTAGAATATTTTATATAAGTCGCTTAGTAAATAATGAAAAGTTAGGATCAGCACATTTTTTAACTTTACTGATTCATACAAATGATATTCTACTCACTCAATTTGAACTGTAGGCAATATACCTAACATTCAGCTCAGCATCGAACTTATAAACTAAAATGATTACTTTGACCGTGGTAAATTAGACAACCATAGATAAAACGAGTCCTTTAAATTAATGAGTTTGTAGAGAACAGGTGTAGAAGGTGGAGTTATTATAGGCAATAGTTTATACGCTAATAAATCAAGTTCTCATCAAGATGATTGGACAAAGATATTTTCAGAATACAGTTAAGCCAAACCCAGTTTGAAATGAAAAGTCCCCCAACAACCTAACGAAGAGGTAATCCTGTATCTGAAGAATAACGAAATTACCAGTCTGTTTAGACTGGAATGTTGAAGTACTAGTTTCATTTTGGGAAGGATAGGTGGCTTGATGGTCTGTGTTACTCCTGGCAATGGCGGTCTTTCAGTTGATCCAACTTTCTTTTGGAAGAGTCGACGGATGGAGCCTCAACCACGTGCTGAGATAATGAATTCCACTCGTTGATGATTCAATGGGAAAGTCGATAGTCAACTAACAAGTAATTTGTCCTGGGGTTGTGAACTTTTTTGGAGTGTCCTCGTAAATTCTCTGTTTTGGGAGACAAGAAAAATGAGGGCATTTCAGGTGCAAATTTATCACTAAGCAATCCGAAAACTAATCAAGTCGCCTCTAGTTCTTCGATATGACAAAGGGAATAGGTTTAGCTTGGCCAGTTGAGCATCATACGGGAACTTCTCTATTTCGGGAATCAGCTTAGTTACTGTTCTCTGAACCTTTTCCAGAAGTTCACTGTCTTTTTTTAAGCAAGGGCTGGCCGCTTGTATGCAGTACTCAAGTTTAGGACGCACGACCACTGTATACAAAGTCAAAAACGTCTTAGCGTCGACATGACTAAAGGCCCTACGTACTGACCATAAAGTTCTAATACCTTTGGCGACTATTGCGGGGCAGTGTGCAGTAGTCTTTAAGTCTTGGCTAACGATGACTCTTAAGTTGTTGTGTGTCTGGACAACAGGTAGCTTAGTGTTATTCATCGTGTATGCATCTGTACCTTGATGACAGATATGCATCACAATACATTTGGAAGTGTTTATTGGCAACTGCCAGATTTGAGACCATTCAGATAATTTCTCCAGGTCATTTTAGAGTTCTAAGCTATCACCCTTACTTCGTGTCACTCTCCATATCTTGACATCGTCAGCATAGAGCAAGACCGACGATGACATTAGGCGAGGAAGGTCATCTACATGTAACAGGAAAAACACTGGCCTCAAGACTGTATCCTGAGGCACTCCACTAAGCACAGTTTCCCAGCTAGATAACTTTGAGTTCACCCGTACTCTTTGTTGGTGCCTAACTAGAAAGTCTTTTATTCACATCAATAGATTGCCTCCAATCCCGACATTTCTTAGCTTATATAACAGCCGGTTGTGCGGAACTTTTTCAAAAGCTTTACTGAAGTCAATGTAAGCTACGTCTACAGGTAACTTTTGGTCTTTAAGAGCGCACCAGCTTTCACGAGCGACTAATAAGTTAGTGAGACAAAACCATACAGCTCCTTCCGAATAATCTTTTCTAAAATTTTAACAACCACACTAGTTAGGCTAACGGGTCGGTAATTCTCAGGTTTATGTTTCGTACCTGTTTTGAAGACAGGACTTACTATGGCGTTCTTCCAGTCTTTTGGTAAACGACGCTGGGTTAAGGATAGATTAAAGCATGTACTTAAAGGGTTCACAACGAAATTAGCTAATTCCTTTAGTTGCCTAGGATGCAGTTCATCGGGCCCCGTAGATTTGCCTATGTCAAGCTTATTTAGCAGACCAAAGACATCGAGTTCTTTAATGGTCACCCTGTCCAGTGTTTGTGTGGGGCGATTACTATGGACTGGCAAGAAGGGTGTTTCTATGGTATATAACTTTTTAAAGTAGTTTGAGAATACTTTAGCCTTACCAAAGTCGTCCTCCACTAATGATGAAGCAGTACTGTCTCCCCATAGTGCAGGAATATTTCCTCTTCTTTTTGTCCTTTGGTTTATATAGGAATACAAGCGTTTAGAACACTATGGATTCCTTAACAATTTTCTCTTCGTACAACTTTCTAGACTTACGGAGGGTCGCGGCGCAAGTATTCCGAGCTTTCGATACTGAGATTTCGTCTCATCAGTCCCCATTAACCTAAATCTATTCCACATTTTTCCTCTCTTACAGAGAAGGATGCGAACCTCCCTACTGAACCATGGTGGAGAGTCTCTCGGCCCCTTTGGTGTAGTCCGAAGGATGTAGGGTGCGGCAACTTTTAGGTATAAATTTCGAAATACGTCCCAAGCCGTTTCAATTGAGGATTCAGGGTCTATCGCCCAATCTACTGACGATGCTGAGTACATGATATCTTGTATGTTTGCTTTCCAGACGTTAGGTCTGGATTGAGCTGACGCGTGCTCGTGATTGACAGTTATTTTTAAGTCAAAAGTTAGAACTGCATGATCACTTTTACCTAGGGGTGGCATGTAATCGAGGTTTGCAACGTCATCCTCATAGTGAGTCAATATGAGATCTAGTAAGGATGATTCAGAGTCCGGGTCGTACCTAGTCGCTTCTTTCACATGTTGCACTAGGGCACATGTGATGACCGCATCAACCAGTTCCTGCTCGAAGGAATTATCTGACAATTCAGTTCACAGATTTTCCCAGTCTACCATTTGTTATGACTTTATGTCCGGCTTTCTATCACGTGATTTATCCACCAATCAAAATACGACTTATACAATCTTAGTACTGTGCCAAACCAATGACGTCCGACCGGTATGAGCAGCCTAGCGTCCTTATTGATCCTATGCTCGCCTAGCCCGTCCACTTGAGTCCAGAACACCAATATCAGCTTCCACTATGCGAATCATATATTTCAAACATACTGTGTTTATATATCAAACAAACAGACCGCAACGCACCATAAAATAGGGAATAACCTTTGTACAGAATAAAACCAAAAAGTGGCTGTGAACGTGGGAGGCAGTAGTTAATAAACTGAACAGTAAATAAAAGAACAGTAAATCGTACAATAATAAATTATAGGTAAAAACAAAGCTTACAACAAGGGGAATATAGATATACATAATCTAGTTACTGAATATTTATACCATGAGAATATATAAATAATACTAATCATTAATAGTGCTCGGGAGTTACCCGTAATTAAATCTTCACTAGGATATAACACCATTGGTGCACTAAAGTCCCCTAGGATTAGACATCGACCACTTTGTGACCAAGTATTGAGACTGCTTAGTAGGACCTCATTTACCTCACAGCTTAAAAGGCGATAGACCAAACCAATCAGCAGCTCTTGCCCTTTGCATTTCAAGCGGCAACTAACTAATTCACACTTCCCACTCATGGGATACACTGTCAATAATGGCAAATTGGATAGCATTCCTAATGAATAGAGCTACCCCCCTTTACGCTTTTGTATTCTGTCGGCCCTTACCAACGTAAAACCCTCAAAATCAAGTTCCATACTATCTATAGACTGCGTCAGCCAAGTTTCTGTGACTGCGATTATGTCTAGCTTTGTACAGTCAATCTGTACACCTAGTTCTGATCGCTTATTGAGCAAGCTTCGGGCATTAGTGTAACAGATAGCTCCGTGCTTCACCCAGAGTGGGTTCGGCATCATTCGCTGTCGAAGCCTCACAACCCGAAAATTTACAATTTTCAGGTCCTTTTCGCCAGCGTCTAACCTAAGTTGTAGTTCTTTTTCGGCTCCCCGTCTTTTTACACGGTCTGCCAGCGACAAGTTTTTACGGAAAACTCCTGAACCTTTTAGTTTATGTCCATTCTGTAAAATTAAGTCGCGTTCATTCGGAGATTTGAATACTACTTTAAGCCGTTTGGATTGATTAGGCTTCAAGTTCGCTTGACTACCCAGTCTGTACACCTTTAGCAAGGTAACTCCGGAGATATTTTGAGGCACAAGTTGATTAAGTAGCTGTTTTATCAGCACAATGTCATACTCAAAAGGAGTTTTTGGTTCAAAGCTTTCACTCTCCTTGATTCTTTGAAAAATAACTGATCTGTCACTGTGGTCAGCCTTCGATTTCTCGACTACTTTTATCGAGGCAGGATTCCCTTTTATATCGTTATTTTGTCTCTTCCTTACAACTTTTATCCATTCGTCAACGTTGCTTGGAGAAGCAACCAGTCGCGTCACACATACTGCAGGATTCTGGAGGGTTGTCGACGACTTGGGAGGTCAGGTTTTGTGTCCCGCTAGAAACCGATCGAGCCTTGGGATTGCGGCTTCTATGCGTCTCCTTCTGGGTGCCATTTAGAAGATGTGGGACAGAAGAAACTTCTTTTCTTGAGTTTTTAGTTATGACAGACCTCTTTGAAGACTGTTCTTCCTCCTTTGGTCGGTGTGAGTCAGCTGTTTTCGGACTCACCTGAGTTTGCTTCACACCAATTTACGTGTCGACAGGGCGAGTACTTGCTGATGTGTCCCGACCACGCTTGCCAAAACACTTTTCTGCAGCATTTACCAATGAGATGGCCTCGGTTAGCAAGCTGTTAACATGCGAACAGCACTGTTGACAAAGCCATACGCAACCATTTTTACTGAACCGTTTGAAAGCCGCAGGCGTTGAATTTGTGCAAACTTCGTGGTACCAGCCTTTGCATTCATCGCACTGCATGCCGCTTTCAAAAGGATATCGACAGCTCGGACGTTGGCAACTACTTCTTTTGCACTGTCCAGTCATCAAACAGAGGGCTGTCGTTATCATGTCGACGCTAAGACGTTTTTGACTTTGTATACAGTGGTCGTGCGTCCTAAACTTGAGTACTGCATACAAGCGGCCAGCCCTTGCTTAAAAAAAGACAGTGAACTTCTGGAAAAGGTTCAGAGAACAGTAACTAAGCTGATTCCCGAAATAGAGAAGTTCCCGTATGATGCTCAACTGGCCAAGCTAAACCTATTCCCTTTGTCATATCGAAGAACTAGAGGCGACTTGATTAGTTTTCGGATTGCTTAGTGATAAATTTGCACCTGAAATGCCCTCATTTTTCTTGTCTCCCAAAACAGAGAATTTACGAGGACACTCCAAAAAAGTTCACAACCCCAGGACAAATTACTTGTTAGTTGACTATCGACTTTCCCATTGAATCATCAACGAGTGGAATTCATTATCTCAGCACGTGGTTGAGGCTCCATCCGTCGACTCTTTCAAAAGAAAGTTGGATCAATTGAGAGACCGCCATTGCCAGGAGTAACACAGACCATCAAGCCACCTATCCTTCCCAATATGAAACAGAAACAGATTATATAGAAAACAAGGTACTCAAAGGTACCGTTAATAAACGGCTTTACGAAAAGAAACGATAGTTTAATTGAATACTTTAACTGAAATAAATTCAATTAAGTTGTTAAAAGTGATCTTGATACGTTTCAAACGATCAAAACAATATGATTTACCCAGACTAGGAAATCTGATAACGATAGAGAGAATTTACCGGAAAGCTGTCGAATATTGGATGCATTCCTTTTATGTGAAAGAGACGACTGCTGAGAATTCTCAAAGTTATTAGTGGAGGAATAAAACGCGCTTAACGGATCTGAAGATTGAAATAAGCGTGAGAACTGGACAAACCTTCACAAGGTACAAAGGCATATTCTGGAGAATGCCTATAAAAATCATCGGAGTCCGTGTTTACAACTTCGTTAAAACTTACATAAATATATCATTAAAAACGGAAGAGTACTAGAACCTACTACTGTCCACTTAAAATGCTCTCAATTTCTTCATCTGTGACATTTTTAACTTTGTTAGTTAATTTTTCGCAAAATCCCGAATCATCTCCAGATGCAAAGCAATTCCTGACATAGTTTAAAATTGTTGCTTTACCATCAGTCGAGACCATTACGTAACGTCAGTGTCAGAAACTCCGCCTTTCTAATGCAATTCTCAAAACTTCAATTTCAAATGATTCAGGACGGAATAAAAGAGGCCTTAGCTTAACGGGCTTCCCTATCTAGTAGCAGTAGATCAACGACGCTTCCATGAATAAACGTAGGTATTGTGGCGTTAAATAAATCCCCAAAATAAATAGCGCGTAGTTTCGAACGGGAAGATTAGTCCTGACGTGGTTTGCATTTCTCAAACTTTTGCTGTGTTCTTACACAAACAAAGTACCATTTCTGATCTAAAGAATCTATTCTGAGCTATAAGTTTGGTAGATTACTTTTTTTGAGTTTCACCCAATTTAATAGTTAACTGTGGTTTTGCCTCGGCTTACTATTCCGTTTTTTTTTCAGTTTTTCACGTAAAGGCTAGTTCATTTCATCCCATCCGTTTTCATAAATTTTCCCCGTTTTTAGTGTGCTTTTTAGTGTATTTTTATGGGTCTTAAGCTTTTGATAGCATCTATAATACAGTTTACGTCAATACAGTCATGAAAAATTCATGCCAACGACCTAGATGCCGTTTTGCTGTTACATCTGGCATGCAGTGCAACAACCGCAAAGGTTGGTTCCATGAAGCGTGCACAGATCTCACGGCAACTGTTTACAACAGACTCAGCAAGTCGGATCATAAGTGGGGATGTGTTACGTGCAGCACGGATGCTGAAGTATTGCTGAGTAACATCATTGTCCTGTTGACAGGTCTGCGCAATAAGTTGTCAGCAAACTTGGAAAAAGATAACCATAAAACAAGTAGACAAACAAGGGCACGTAATGAAAACAAGAATAGGGATGTCGATAGGTCTACCATCGATGGAGCATACACTAGCTCTAACGATGACATGTTGAAACTCAGCACAATCATTACGTCAACGGTAGTAGACTCCCTCACCAAACTCGGATTTCCCAGCTCAGAGTCCTTAAATGCAACAGTGGTTTCAAAAATCTCTGCAGGTTATTGCGCCCACGTTAACAGAGCTACAAAGGACCAGGCGTTACCGTCTAAGCCAAACATTCCACGTGTTGTACGGACATCAACTGATGATTTGATCGCTCAGTCTACCCCCAAAAACTTCCGCCCGGTTATCAAAATGCCTGCGACTCAGAAATCTGCTTCGACCTCCAAACAACAACGTATTGAACCTGAACGCACTGGAAAACCTGGGAAAACAACAACGGTCCCTGATGACTCTCTCATAATCATGAACCTCATAGACAACCCTGACCTTCCTCTCAGTTTGCAGGACAAAAACGACAGGATGCTCTGGAGCGAATTGAACAAAAAGCTCGAACTTCCTAGAATGGAGCCTTTGACGGTCACACGGCATCAAAATCACCCGAGGCCACTTCGTGTAACACTCAAGAATGCTACCGAAGTAGAGAATGTCCTGCTAGCTAGTCGTTTATTGAAATCCGATGGGGACGTCAGAATACTGCCCGACATACCGTCTTCTGAGCTTAATCTCATTCGGAACGTCCCTAAAGATTCGCGAGAGTTTTTCTGCGGAAGAAATATCATCGTGCAAGGTGTACCGGAAAACATGAACCATAGTCAAGCAAACCCTGACATTCGGGAATGAAAGTTCATCAGACAGTCCTCGAGGCTCAAAAACATACTGACTCAGCATTTGACGAGACTAGCCAAGAAGGACGGGGATCCTAGACCCCGACTAATGAGAATAACTTTCCCATCCTCCCATATGGCGGCTGCAGCTCTGGAAGTATTTCGTGCCAACAGACGTCGGTTGCCGACTGGGATCCACATGCACCCGGCCATATGACGCCAGGATCAAGCACAAAGGCAAGCTGGAGCTGACCATTCCACTTGTGGATTGTCTTGAAGATAAAAACGTGTAAAGGACAGGACCTACTAATTCGGCATACCTTATATAGGTGGGCTACCTGTCCGCTCACGTAAGAAGAAGCTCACACGTTCCAAATTGAGAGCATTAACTGCTATACTGAGGGAGGCAGTTTCAATCCTGGCAACACCGCTGAGCGTGGTGTTCTCACACTCGCCAAGTCGAGGCAAACTACCGGATATTTGGAAGCTGGCCCATATCACACCAATCTTCAAAGGAGGTCGACGCAGCGAACCTTCAAGTTACCGACCGGTGGCTCTTCTCTCTATACCTTCAAAAATCATGGAGTCCCTGATATACGATGGTATACACGACTATCTGCTGTCCTGAAATTTCTCACCCCAGCAGCATGGTTTCAGGAAGGGTTACTCCTGTATGACGAACCTGCTGACCGCGGTGGACAGATAGACAAGCATCGTTGATCTCAAGGGGAAGGTGGATATCATTTACCTTGATTTCTCTAAAGCTTTTGATAGGGGTAATCACATATGTCTTATCAATAAGCTCAGACGACTTAGTATCAAACCACCTTTAATTAACTGGCTCAGTTCATATCTGACAAATCGACATTTTAAGGTCAGGGTCAACTTCAATTTATCACACGCTATGGAGTGTCCTAGTGGTGTCCCCCAGGGCTCAGTACTAGAACCTCTTCTTTTCTTGATTTATATAAACGATCTTCCTCAACAGGTAACGTCGGACTTATTGCTTTTTGCCGATGACGTGAAACTTTGGAGAGAGATACACAACCAAGACGATATACAGGCACTTCAGGAGGATCTGACTCGACTTCAAAGTTGGGCAGACGACAACGGAATTACTTTCAACACTTCAAAGTGTAAAGTAATCCATCTGCGACACGTCGCAGATTACAGTTACAACTTGGGAAACTCCTTTCTAGTAGTATCCCGAGTCGAAAAAGATTTAGGAGTTCTGGTGCCCTACGGCTTAAAGTCTTACGCTAACTGTGACAGAAATGCCTTCCGAGCAAACCTTGCGCTGGTAACATTGAAGTGCATTTCTGGTCAGTTTGACGGGAGAACTTTCCACATAATCTTCAACAGTTTCATTCGTCCCCCATTTATGGTACGGAAACATAGTATTCCCTCCTACACTCTAAAAGGATAAGGACACTCTGGAGCGTATCCAACGGCAATCCACGAAATCAGTTCGGGGTCTCAAATTTAAACCTTACGAAGAGCGCCTCCAATCATTTGACCTTTACCCATTAGAGTATAGGCGTCTTAGAGGTGACCTTCTAATGGCTTACAGTATCCTTAACACACCTGGACATCCTCTTAAACAACTACTTAAGCTTAGTCCCAACAGTAACCTAAGGGATAACACCCAGAAATTAGAGATACAACATAATAGAACGAACTGCAGGCACAACTTCTACTGCTTAAGAGTTGTCAAATGCTGGAATTCGCTGACATCTCAGCTAGTCCAAGCAACTTCCCAAGAGTCCTTTAAGAGGCGACTTGATCTATTTTTAAGGACTAACGATAGTATCTTACTATGACTAACCAATTTCTTTTCTCTCTTTTATCGTTAATATACCTAAGTTCTTGCCTGAAGGTATTGGTGATCCCCTGCTACAAGACACGGAAGCCTGTTAAGCGGAAGCTTCTTGTATTCCGTCCACAACCATTTGAATCATTTGATATAAATCCTCAAAATAAATAGCTCAGTAAGTTTTCGACATAGGATGCTGACAATATTAGTCTTAATGAACTCATCTAGCTGAAGACGCTCGGTCAAGCATCCGCACCAGATCACGTGTGGGAACGCCGTGCTCAACATCTGCCGTAATCGCTAGCCAGATCAGTGCAAACGATCCTCGATATATTGATAGCTTATCAAATATATCTTCGATCCCCTCGCTTCTGTCTTTTGATTTTACTTGGTGGGTGCGCTTCATATCAGGTGTTACTGGCTAAAGCGTTGTCAAACTCCGAATACCTGTGGCATCTTCATTGGTGAGCCCGACGTGATCTGGTACACTAAATTGAAAATTGTGAGTCTGTTCCTTTTTGGGATTTTATATATCATTGCCTTATTCTGATTTTTTATACATTGTCTTATTTTTTCCTCGTGTTTTTGGATATATATATTTCCCACTCGTTCATTTTCGTACTTGATATGTAACTATGACTGAACAGACCCCTAAAGTATTTAAGTTAAAGACTGTGTCCCCATCTTCCTTCCAACTTATGCCCTTCTGACCAGACAACATCGAAGCCTGGTTTTGCTACGCAGAAGCCGACTTCTACGAGCACGGTGTGAACGACACACGTGCACAATTCCTCGCAGTAGTCAAGGCACAACCGCGCGAATTCAACAGGCACGTAACACCTAGTATGTTTACTAGTGATGTTTCTGAACCATACCAAACGTTAAAACATGCCATCCTCAAACGCGGAGATCTAACCGATCGACAAAAGTAAGACCAACTCCTTAACAACATCGATCTGCAACACGGCTCTGCCACAGACATGTTGCAAAGAATGAGAGAAGTTATTGTCCAAAGAACCTTCGATGATGGCCTGTTCAAACAACTATTCCCATCCAAACTCCCTCAACGGGTGCAAGCTGTGCTGGTCTCGTTTCAAAACAACGCCGTAGACGAGCTGGCTGCATCTGCCGACCGTATCCTCGAAATCACTAAATCTTCTGATGCCGAGGTTTTTCAGTCAAAGAAAAGCCTCAAACGACCCAGAATGACATAACAGAATTATGTCATACACTTACACGTTATTTTCGACTTCGTAACGACCGTAAACGGTCACACACACCGCGAAGAAACACTTCACGTAGGCGATCTGTCTCTAGACCTCGAGAGATGGATGATCCCGACTGGTGCTGGTATCACAACCAGTATGGAAAGTCGTCCAGAAATTGCAGAAAACCCTGCAGTTTTCCCAACTCAAAATCGATCAACACGGTCAACAATTCAGGAAACTTCCAAACCGGCACGCGTTAACGGCAACGTAGCCGGCGAACATAGCCGTCTGTTATACTTCACAGATGTGATAACGAGAGTTCGCTACCTCGTCGATACTGGCGCAGAAGTTAGCGTTCTCCCAGCGAATTCCAAC